GATGGCTGGGAAGCGGCGAGAGGAAGGGAACGCGGCTGAGGAGGCTGGAGCCAAACACCAGGCCAAGGCGCTGGCTCAGCGTGACCGTGTACAATGGGGCGGCAGCCGCGAGGCAGAACAGACTAGAACCTCCCCGGCCCTGGCTCCTCCCACCCAACGGTCTCGTGACCCCGGGGCCTTCGCTGGCTCATTCCTACTCCCTCTCTCTCCGCTCCTGCGCACTGCCTAGAACCTTCCAGAAGCATGGCTGTTCGTGCTCTTGCCTGCCTCCCTACGCACACATTCCTATAGCCTTAACTCTGAACCAGCTCCCTGGGTGGGCCAAACCTCTGGATGGGAGCTTTCCAGGAGGCGGGCCGGGGAGCCATTTAGGATGGGACACTCTGCGAATGTGGGCACTAAGTGGAGCACCACGCCCAGACTAGCGGGAAGGGACGCCGAGCCGCAATGGCGGTCAGTGCGCTTGTGTGACGTAATCAGCCTGCGCCGCCGGGGAACCAAAGCCCGGGAGCGACGCCGCCGGAAGGGGAGGGGCGCAAGGCCTGGTTTCCTGGCGACGCGGTCCTGCTGGCGGCTACTTCTCTGGCTGTTTGACTTTTTGTCTACGTGACTCGTGAGCTGGGCAGTCATGCTTTGGCCGCTTTTGGCCCCCAAGCTGGTTCCCGTCGTAACAAGCGCCCGTGGCCTCTCAGGTTAGACTCTCCCACAGTGTCCCCTTCACGGCTTGCCCTGCGAGAAGCCTGAGTAGCCCCAGAGGGATCCCAGGTGGTCTTGGGCGATTCCTGATTCGGCGGACCTTCTCCTGCTGGGGCCTCTGCTCCAAAGCCTCTGTGCTCTCCTTGGATTTATAATATACCAACTGCTCCTGCAAACGGGTGGGCCCTTGTTCTTGCTACCGTTGAGGTATTCTGGGAACCTGAAATTCTCCCTGACTGCAGGGAGAAGGTGTGTACCATTCCCCTAGAGGGGCTGTCTTCAAGTTACTCGAATTCATAATTGTGTCGCTTCTCACGTTTGCATAGGTGACAAAGTGTCTCACATCAAGTAGCACTTGTTTCTGTTAGGTCATCCTAAATTCCTGTTTGCGTGTTTTCAAAGAGTTCACCTGGGAGCTGGCTCAGGTGTGCAAGAAACTTGTGAAGTAATGAATTTGGGGGCAGTTCCTCTCAGAAGTAATGTTTACAAGCACTTTTTGATCCGGACGAGCAGATGGCGTAATGATTACGTCGCTGGACTTTGTCGAGTCCCGGACTGGAGACTTAAAACTCACTCCTGGCTCGTGTGCGTGAGTGCCTTAAGATCCCGAGAGGAGAATGGAGGATTGCGACATGGCCATCCCCCCCAGGGATGGTTTCTCGCTCTCTCTGTCTCTGGTGAGCACATGCGCCCTACAGCAAAAATCTTTAAAACAAACAAACAAAAAAACTTTTTGTTATGATAGTCCTGTTTGTAAAGACAAGCTGGAGCTCAGAAATGAGGGAAACCTTTTTTTTTTTTTTTTGGTTGAGTGTACGCTATCACTATAAATTAATTTGATGAGCATTTTTTAAAAAGCTTAGTGAGGGGCCAGCAGGTGTTGAGGTGGTTGGGGACAACTGGACTCCTACATGGCCGATGTCTGTTCGAGTCCTGGACCTGTCTCCTTGCTTTCTCACTTTCCTTCTTTCTCCCTCTCTGGTCAAATTAAAATAAATTAAATAAATAAAGTTAAATAAAATAATTCTTTTTAAAAAAAACTTAGTGAAAACGGAATCATCTATTGTACTTTGCTGGCCGATCTGCCATTGCATCATATTTGTTTGGGGAGAGGGGGTGGCAATGTGTGAACAATTTGTGAACCAGCACACTCTGTATATAACATCAAAGCTATGACTTTGCATATGTTTATGTTGATAAACGTGAATTCATTAAAAATGGAATGTTAATTATATTGGTTACTATAACATTAATTGAATCCTTGTCTAGCACACAAAACTTACTCTTTAATTCTAACATGAAAGCAGTAGAAAGGTATCTCTTTGTATGGGATTAGGCGAAAAGATAGATGTGCAATTTATCACTCTTAATCACAGAAGCCATTGAGTTAAACCATTGGTCGCTTGTGTCATCTGGATTTCTTCAAGCTTTCTTGTAAAACCTGATTAGTTAAGATTTAGGACTGGGTACAGCACCAGGATCTTTGAAAAATGTATTCATTATGTTTCAGTAGAATATGTGAATTTAACAACTTCGTACATATTGCCTTATGATCTCCCTGAGTCTTCACAAGTCTAATAAGGTAGATATCCTTATATTACCGATGAGAAACTGAAGCACAGAATCACAAATAACAAGGCAGGAGTTTTATTTGTATGATTATGTCTAGTCCTTTCTGTTATATCCACTAAACTTAGTAGTAGAGGTCTTTTAAAACTTTTTTTGGAGGGGACCAGCAGTTAGTTTAATGGCTATATCACCGGACTCCCATGTAGTTCACTGCAGTTCGAGTCCCAGACCTGGTGGCTTAAACTCACGCCAGGTGTGTGTGCGTGTGCGTGCCCAAGATCCCGAGAGAATGGAGGAGAAGGGATTGCAGCATGGCCATCCTCCCTGGGGGGTGATGTCTCGCTTTCTGTCTTTCTGGCGAGCACAATATAGCAACAAAAAAAACCTTTTTTTTACTGGAGCTGGGAGGGCCAACAATGGCACAGCATTAAAATGCCATTCCTCTTTAAAATGAAAAAAAATGTAAAGAATAGTAAATAGAGAATTTTTTTATTTCCTAAGGTAGTCCCACATGGGAAGTTTTCCTGGGTTCAAATCCAGAGACCTCCCTCTTAATGATCTATACCTGACAAGCCTGGGGATGGATCTCTGTCAAGACCCTATTTAAGTTTTGTCTGTCACACTGTCTCTGTCTTTCTCTTGCTCATGAAAGAAAGAAAATAGTTTTCTTCACTGAGCCAGAAAAATATGCAGTTTCGTTCAGTACCTTTTGAATTAGTAATCATTGCGGATGAATCTCCACTTCCTTCCAGTTGCCCGGAGTGTGATCAAAGGGAAATAGACAAGCAATGAATGACAGTATAGCACATTACAGTAATCTTGACTCAAGTGACATGGGTGCTCAGGAAAGGCAGGAGTGTGTTGTAATATGTTATTCTGGGGCTTTACTAAGCCTTAGTATCTGAAAAATCTCACATTTGAGGTGCTCACAACAACTGTGTCGGTCTTGCTTACACTTTAGGAGGATTCTGTCTCAAGAGGATTGAGTGCCATAGGAAACTTCTTGGTGAAAGTCACGCATCCCTAAAATGAAAATGTTTTTGCTAGTTAAAAGTTAACCCAATTAATATATCTTGCTAGAGTATGTTTCCATCACCATCTAGTCAGGTGAGAACAAGCAAAATACAGTAGGAAACTCTTTTATAAAGGTTTTGCCATAGGGCACATGCACACACCAGAGAGAGAGACATTGAGAGGGAAAGTGAGCAATCACCCCCCAGGAGGGATGGCCATGCTGCAATTCCTTCTCTTCCTTTCTCTTAGGATTTTGAGCACTCAACGCTTATGTGCCCAGCATTTTTTTTTTTGGAGAGATTTTTGCTATAGGGCGCATGCGCTCGTCAGACAGACAGAGAGACAGAAAGCGAGAAATCACCCCCGAAGGGGGATGGCCACGCCACAATCCCTTCTCCATTCTCCTCTCGGGATCTTGGGCACGCACGCACACGCGCCTGGCGTGAGTTGAAGCCACCGGGTCTGGGACTCGAACTGCAGTTGACTAGGTGGAAGTCCAGCAACATAGCCTTTATGGTAACTGCTGGTCCCCCCAGCATGAGCTTTAAGATACCAGGTCCTGAACCAAAACTGGTTGGCCAGGTGGGAGCCCAGTGCCTTTATTGCTCTGCCACCTGCTGGTATCAGTAGGGAGTAGTTTTTTGGTTTTTTTTCTTAAGAGGTTTTTGCTATAGGGCGCATGTGCTCGCCAGACAGAGAGAGACAGAAAGCGAGAAATCACCCCCGAAGGGGGATGGCCACGCCACAATCCCTTCTCCATTCTCCTCTCGGGATCTTGGGCACGCACGCATACGCGTCCGGTGTGAGTTTAAGCCACCGGGTCTGGGACGCGAACCGCAGTCGATTACATGGGAGTCCAGCGACATAGCCATTACGCTAACTGCTGGTGCCGAGTAGGGAATAGTTTTTTAAAGCCTGTTTGCAGGTTTTAATTAATTCAACACACATTGAGCACCAAGTGTAAAATCTCTCCCTTCATGAGAGACAGGTAAATAATTTTATATAGTAAGTATGATAAAAGTACAAAATATTCTAAACATACTAAATACTATTTATTTATTTATTAAGAGAGATTTTTGCTATAGGGCCTGTGCACTCACCAGAGAGAAAATCAGAGAGACAGAAAGCAAGAAATCACCCTCCATGGAGGATGGCTACACCACAATCCCTTCTCTTCCATTATCTTCTTGAGATTTGGGGCACACATGCACGCATGCCCAGCATGACTTTCAGACCCCTGGGTCCAGGACTTGAACTCACGTAGTCGCCCATGTAGGAGTTCAGCACCTAATCACTATGCCACCTGCTGGTCCCTGTATTAGAATTTCTAAGCATGGTAAAAATCCAGTGGAGAAGGAAGAAGTGATATTTTCTAGGAACAGAAATGGATGGTACTTTTTTTTTTTTAATTTTTTATGGAGAGGTTTTTGCCATAGAGTGCATGTGCTCACCAGACAGACAGACAGACAGAAAGCGAGAAATCACCTCCCAGGGGGGATGACCATGCCACAGTCCCTTCTCCTCCATTCTCCTCTCGGGATCTTGGGCACGCACGCACACGTGCCCGGTGTGGGTCCACGACGTGAACTACATGGAGTCCATCAACATAGCCATTACGCTAACTGCTGGTCCCTGGGTGGAACTTTTAAAGATTGGGAAATATTTGATCTAAGACTCAGAAGACTTCACCAAATAGGCTAGAGAAAAGGCACTATCCTTATAGAGGGAGCATATGCAAAGGCATAGAACTCTGAAACAGAATGACTGGTGTTATGCACTGCAGTCATTTTGTATAGCTGGAGAAACTTACATGTACCTGAGCATATTGGTATGTACTACCTCAAGATGATTCTGTGGTCAGATACATATGGGAATTGTTACATTTCATGGTTTTGAAGATAGTTTAATTGCAAATCTCAAAGAGGGATACGTATTGGGCAGTAATTTGCCAAATGTATTTGACCACCAGGTTTGGTGTCCAGTTTCTGTGTGGGTCTTTTTTTTTTTTTCTGGAGAGGTTTTTGCCATAGGGCACGTGCGCTTGCTGGACAGAGAGAGACATAGAGACAGAAAGCGAGAAATCACCCCCCAGAGGGGATGGTCACACCGCAATCCCTTCTCCTCTCGGGATCCTGGGCACGCACGCACACGCGCCCGGCGTGAGTTTTAAGCCACCGGGTCTGGGACGCAAACCGCGGTCGACTATGTGGGAGTCCAGTGACACAGCCATTACACTAACTGCTGGTTCCCTCTGTGTTGAGTCTTAAACTGGTATCCCTGGAACACATTTTGGAAAAAGTTGGGCTAGAGCATAATATGTGTACAAAGAGGTGATAGAAGGGCCAGCCCCATAGCACAGTGATTAAGTCCTTTAGCTTAGGAACCAGATCCCACATGGCTGACCAGTTTAAAT